ATAATCCATAATAACTCTTCCTCCAGTGAGTCAGTGTTCTGGTGTGAATCAGGAGAGAAATCTGCACAGATCAAGCAGCGTTTAAACAGCTCTAAACACACATGTGGCTGGATTTTGATGCGAGAGACAACAGCAGATGCACTTTTTCACTGGAGGAAGCGTTATTATGGATTATAGACTCGTCTTAATGCTGGATGTGTTTCAGCTTTTGTCTTCTCCAGGTGTTCACTGATGGACTGGAGTGCTGTGGATTATTGTGATGTTTTGATCAGCTGTTTGGACTTCATGATATTATTGAAAGTAGCCCAATAGGACAAATGTAAACAAATATCTATATCTATCTATCCTAGTAACAGGCTAATCATGCTAAAAACATTTTATCAACATCTATCTAAATGTTCAAACTTCAGGCTTTTACAACTGCTTTAAACTTTCAGTCTTGACAAACTTTTTTTATCTAGTTGTTGTGTGTGTTTTAGAGAGGAGGGCTACATCCCGAGCAACTACGTGACTGAGAAAGAGTCCGACACGCTGGAGCAGTTCATGTGAGTCGAATCGATCACTCATCTCCTCATCTCCTCATCTCCTCGTGATAGAGTAAGAGCGCAGTCATGAAACTCTTCTCAAATCACACAAACGGAGGTCAGGGAAAGATGTAATGTTGAAATTGTGTGTTGTTGTGTGTGTTTTAGAGAGGAGGGCTACATCCCGAGCAACTACGTGACTGAGAAAGAGTCCGACACGCTGGAGCAGTTCATGTGAGTCGAATCGATCACTCATCTCCTCATCTCCTCATCTCCTCGTGATAGAGTAAGAGCGCAGTCATGAAACTCTTCTCAAATCACACAAACGGAGGTCAGGGAAAGATGTAATGTTGAAATTGTGTTACAAATAAAAACACTCTTATATTTGAGTTGCTTAAAAAATGTCAATTTATAACTCTCAGGTTTAATTCAATGCATTTTGTTATCATTTGTTAAATTTACTAGCAATTTCTGAGTGAAAATGGCTTCAAAGTGAATCCAGCAGCAGATTTTTTCAGTGTATTCCAGCTCTGCTCACTTCAGAGAGAGGTTGAAACGTTCACTTGTGTGCAAACACTTGTGGCTGTATGTCTGTTTTTTTAGGGTCAGATTTTAAACTTCACTTGTTTATGTTTGTGTTTCAGATGGTTTTGTAAAAATATAAATCGCAACAAAGCTGAAGAGCAGCTCAGGAAAGAGGTGTGTGTGTCTGTATCAGTGTGACTGTTCAGAAAAATGTGTGTTAAACATACTTTATTAATGTGTGTGTGTGTGTTTAGGCGAAAGACGGTGGATTTATGGTTAGAGTGTCCAGCAATACAGGGACGTACACTGTGTCACTGTACACCAGGAATACAGCGTGAGACACACACACACTCTCTTACACACACACACACACACACACACTCACACTCACACTCGCACA